GGATGTCATGCCTGATTTGCTGGCGGGCACGATGACAGCATCACAGGCGAAGAAACCGATGACATTCATACCAGGAAACAACTACGAGAATGTCGAATTTAAGACAGAGAAGGTGAACACTTACGAGAATGTGGAGCTAAAGCCACATTCACAGGGTGCGCCAATTGTAATCTTGCCAACACCGAAACCACGCCAAGCTGTAGCCGGCGCAGGCGGCTCACCAGGAGTTGAGCCTAAGAAACGTTCAATCATACCAACGCCGCGAAAGATTGCCTCGCCCACTAAGCTACCCATACAAGTTGCGCCACCGACGGTGCCTAGCGAGGCATTGCAGGCAAAGTCACTAACTAAGGCTGTGTCAAAAGTGCCAACCACACCTACTACGCCCACAACACCCACTACTCCGACAAATAGTCCACTTACGCCAGCAAATACCCCGACCACGCCGTCATACGAGCCCACGCAAACCGCTAAAGAATTCATCACCAAGATACCAAAAGCTATCGCCTCGGTATTTGGCCCCAATTCGCAACGCTCATTCGAACGTGCCAAGACTGAGGGTGAAATTAAGCTAAAGCAGTCGCCTGAGCTATCGTCCAGCATCAAACAACAGACCGCCATGTTCTTGGATAAAGAATGCCACAGTTCCACGGATAGTGTTGTGAGCGCTACGCGTAAGCCCGCAGCTGAAAAATCGAAGTCTGTAGAAACAAGCAAGCTTTCGCCGCCTAAGTCCCGCATTCCCGTGGTACTTTCGCCGAAACGCTCATTCGAAATGGACACGTCCATGGAGCGAAAGCTTAATAATAGTCCGTCTAACATACCACGTTTCCTAACGCACAAGCAAAAGTCCGAAACGGACCTCAAACTTGGACTCTATCGCAGCAAGTCGAAGGAGTCCAGTCCGCCGTTGAGTCTCAAAATGCCGCTGCAGCGCACAAATTCAGCGGAGTCGAAACTAAAGAGTCCTGAGCGCACACTTATACCCGTTTTCAGTGGTCAGTCTACATCCGCGGAAGCCATACTTGCCTCCACCGCAGCGAGCACGCCCACAAAGGCGAAAGGTCCTAAACCTAAACCACCAGAGCGTGTGCAGTCGCTAGGCAAGTCACCCACGCATATTCCTAAACTGCAACCGTCAACCGTAAGTGGTGGTGGTACAGTTGCGGTGTCAGTGGCGGACCGAAATGCTGCTACTACACACACGACGCCACCGTCATCGCGCAGCGATACACCCACAATGCAAACATTCAAGCAACAATCACCGCCTGCCAGCGCATCACCCAATCGCGAGATACGTTTCAAGATACAAACCTACGAAAGTAAAACGCAAGAGCCACGCACACCATTCACGGATGTGAATGACAATGAGGACGATAAAATGCCTAGTCTCTTCGATTTGGTACGCAAGAATAGTCCGAATGCGCAACGGAAAGATGAATCGCCGCCAGTTCTGTCCTCATTTAAATCATCTACTGTCAACCAAGAGCAGCAGCAGCACATTGAAAGTAATGTCGATGACGAAGACGTACCCCCAGCTGTGGTGGGTAAATGCATTAAAGTGAGTGACTCACAACCCACTTACTACTCAAGTTCGAGTGAAGATGACGAAGAGGAGCTCAACGCCATGCGTCATGACGCTGAACGTGATTATGACTGCGAGGATGGTGAAAAGTTGGGACCACCAGAGCTGATAAATGGCCCAGGACCCTCGGAAGCATATTTCAATCTCTATTGGCATTCGAATATGCTGCCCACCATTGGCGAGGTGGAGGAGGAATTCTCCTCGCTAGAGCCGCAATCTTTGCCAAATGGGTAAGTTTAAATAAGCATTTAAATAAAATATACTTACTTATATAGGTAGATGACCCGCAATCAGAACTAGATGAAATTCGGAATTTATTGATGTTATGCTATACTGTTATAAACTTTACTTTGACTTTACTAGGATCTATTGTCAACAATGGTTCAGGCCCAGCAACCTCAATCCTAAAAAACAAAATACTTTCATTTACCCGCCCCTAACCATTCTGGGGTTCCCATCTAGTTAGCTCTAAAGGACGTCAGCTCTAGGTTGCTATTAGAAAAGTTGGTTTTTGTCTTTGATTTAGGCTTAGGCTCCTGAACTAATTAATTTTTGTTAATCCAAAGGCAATTAAGTGCAGCTCTGGCTATGACTTATCTTCAAACGACTCACCCCTCCTAGCAGAACTCAATACCAATTTTGTTCCTACCCCCACTCATGTACTCTTCATAATTGGAAGACATATTGGAATTCCTTTCGGGCATCGTTTTTCGACTCTTGACATGAAATTGGTCCTGAAATCTCATGAAGATATATGTGCAGATATTGAAAACTTCAACAGTTGTTTCTAAAAAGCTGCTTGGTGCTCAACTTTTGCTCTTGATAACCGAACAAGCTCAAAAATATCATTTGATGTAAAATTCATATTAAGAGAAAAACGGCTTGCAGGAAAAAGGTGGCAGCAAACTTAATATCCTGAAGACAAAATACGATTGAACAAGGTGTTAACCCAAACTCAGCGTTACCTGAGAAGTATTGACGTAACTTCAGCTACAGACTACTCTCTCTGGAGCGCAACAAGAAAGCTGAAAAGGCTCACTTTGTGTGTGTCGGTAATTAGAAAGGAAAATAACGAATGGGCAAAAATTGATTCAGAAAAAGCAGATACATTTGCATGCTATTTAAAAACGGTATTCAGACTTCACGCTTATCTAAAAAATCGCTACTTCTTTGTAAAACAGTGTATGGAATATTCCGAACTCTATGAAAGCTCTGCAAGTGTGGCTCGAGGCAGTATTATATACTCTACACACATGATTTTCCTTCTACAGAGGAAGTTACCATTGCAACTTTCGCAAATGATTTAGCTCTTTTAGTAGTCGATATTCTACCAAATTTGGCTTCACTGAAACTTAAAGAAAGTTTAGAAAAAATCGCCCGCTCTCTGAAGGAGTGGCGAATAAAATTTAATAAAAATTAATAAATTGTTAACTTTGTGTATCAAATACATACAAATGAAAATAAAAATTGAATGGTTTTTTCCAAAAATGCTGCATGAATTCGTCAGCTATTCCGCTAACTATTCTTCATTGGATCACTTGCAATAAAATCAAATTTTCTTTTACCAACCATACTATGCTTGCGTGGCATACATATAGGCGCTTCCAACCGATCGCAGCTAAGTGATGAGCGCTCACACCAATCATGCCGCTAACAAAATTTCGCGTGCACTCAGCAATACGCTGGGTACCACATCAAACTCATTAGTGACAGCGTAATCACTAAACAAAGTGCAAGATAACAAGTATATGTGGAAAGATAAGTTAGCAACAAAAAAGTCAACGCCAGAATAGAATACACAAAGTAAAGTGAGTGAAATGAATATTAGGAAAGTCAAACAAACAAAAAACCAAAACAAAATATAAATTATGCAGACAATTAGTATAGTAGGTATGAGAATGGTTGTATGTGTGCCGGTGTGCAGAAAAAAGCCATAAAAAATGCCGGCGGCACAATGCAAATGTGCGAGGGAAACTGGCCGAAATGGGGAGTAGGGGCCAAAATAATACCAAGGAATTTAGTGAGTAGTTAGTACAAGGGGCAGTGCACGCAGGGTTGAGAGGACGAGTATATCAGCCAAAGTACGAGCACGAGTTGATGGTAGAAATAGAACCAGAAATATAATAATGATAAGCGTTTGTAGCGCAAAGTAGCGCAGAAGAGGTGAAGTACCAAGTGGTAGGTTGTATGTAGATAAGTAGATAGTTCGCATGGCATGCGGGGGGGTAGGCGCGGCGTCAGGCGAACTCAGCACGTATGGAATATGTATGTGAAGACCCAGCGCGTTGCGCTACTACACATGTATCTACCTTCAAGCTTTGCATTGTGGGCAAAAGTAATTAGTACAAGTTTTAATTTGGCACAGTTAAGGTGAGCAACGACGTGAAAGATACTGAAGTACATAATTTTAGTTAGTGAGTAGCTACGGGCGAGATATCTTGGCGCACGGAAAATAGGCAAAGAGAAGATCCCGTGAACGCAAAGCTATTGCCTGTGAATATTCAAATCTACGAACGCAAGCGAGCAATTTCCGATTATTGTAGCGGTTGTTGGAGCGTTAAAAAGAAAATAAAGATCTAAAAAAAAAAACAGGTAAAGAATATGTCAATTGGGTAGCAGATAAGGCCGCTGGCGGTTAATTAGTTGAAAGAGAGTGAATAAGCGATTTTTTTTTTAATTTCGATATTTTTATCAACAAAACGCACTGTGCGCTTGTCACTGGCTTCCGCTGTTGTTTTTTTTTTTTACAGTTTTGAACCAAATAAGCATTCAAAATTGACTAAAAATTCTTTAACAATTTGACAAAATGTTGAACCAATTTTCTATTCTTTCCAGTCCAATCGTTATTGTGGATGATTTGAGTCAACAGCAACAACCAAAACAGTTAGCAAATAACGTTGAAGCAGAAAAGATCGCAGAACCGCAAACGAAGGATATTGTAGCTGAGGTGAAGAAAGACTCAAACGCAACAAAAGGGATAGAAAAGGTAGCAGACACGGGACCTCTGAAAGATACTAAGGAGGTGATAGACAAAGTAGTGTCCGAGGCTTCAGAAAAGTCTTTAGAGAGGAAGCGCGAAGAGGTCATAAAGTCCGAGCCTGCTGAGAAGACCGTGAAAGCAACAAAATTAGCCGGGACCAACGCCACCGAGTCCACTAGCACGAGCGCACAAAAAGATCAGAAAACGCCTGCAAAAAGTGGAACTTTCAGCGCCCCTAGCACTCAACAGTCAGCGATTGGTAAAGCGCGAAAATCGCAATTCATTGGCGTGCCCGTATCGCCGCCGACAGTGCCCAAAATGGAGAGTGGCCAGGTAAAAGCTGAGGAAACTACCAGCAGCGGTGACAAGGTGACAGCGGAGAAAGCGACGCATGCGACAAAGGAAATGAATAGTGAATTTGTGGCCGTGAAAGAGAATGCAAGCGCGCTGGATAAAGTGACAACAACAGCAAAGCAGGTGAAACCAAGTGATAAGATAACTGACACTGCCAACAAAGTGACAATGGAGGTTAATTACCAGTCCACTGATAGTAGAGTAGAGCAGAGGGAGTTGGAGCAGAATGTAGTTGATATGCCTAATGCCAAGGCTAATTGGGCAGCAGGCGATGGGGACACAAATAACGCAGCGATAATGGTTAATCAGGTGTCAAACAATACGACTGTAATGGCGGCGGTACCTACTGAAACAAAGCAAATAGGTCAACAACAGGCAAATGAGGAACATATTAACTCATCCAATAACACAAACGAAGCAGAGTCAATAAAACTGGCGCATAAAGTTGAAGGGGTTGATACATATACCCATAGTGAGTCCAAAAGCGAAACTGCAGCAGAGACCACGAAATCGAGCAGCAATAGCGCTAGTAGTTCGAGTATGTCCAGCAAGATCAGCGAGACACATATGGAGCAGACGGTGCAGAAAAATGTGGAGGCGAAGACTGAGCACACGTCCGAGCTGAAATCGGAACGTCAGACTACACAAAAAGTTACCACAACTACCACTAAAAAGCAGGTCATCAAGTCCTCCACCTCTTCTACGCAACTGATCGAGAATAGCAGCTATGATGCTTTGGACGGCTTACCGGAGGAGTTGCGCAAAACGCTTGAAGCTGGCGGTAAGGCTCAGACTAATAAAACGACCAGCGCCACACCGACCGCTGCACCCTTTACCTCCAACTTGTTGGATCATTTCAATAAACCTGTTGCCTTTACGCTGCAACCCTATGCGGAACGCGTCAGTAGCGCCGGTTCGCCACGCATAACCGTCTTTGAAGAGCGTCAATTCGAAACCAAACAAAATGCTTACACCGAGATACGCACACGCGATACGGCGGGCGAAGAGAAGCTACAGACGAGCACGGAAAGCCATAAGGAACGCGCCAAGTTGAAGAAGGTGCACAGCCAAGGCGATGATTTGGACCAGCTTGGTGTTGAAGGTCTTGCTGAGGAAATGACAGCCGCTGACAATTTAAAGCCGATGACGGTCACCGCGAGCGCGGAGACACGTATATCGGAATTTGTCGATAATCCACAAGATAAGCAAAGTATTGAAAGGGGTATTTTGAATTTATCGGAGAGTGGTAAGCAATTGCAACGCAACGAATCTGGCGGTGTGGAGTATATGGAGTGTGAGCACCAAGTGCAGGATTCGTTTGAAGATATGAGGCAGGTGTTGGGCGGCGGCAGTGTAGAAGGAGATAAGAAGCCCACACTGCTGCGTGAATTGAGCGAAACACTGACTGTGGCTAAGGATGGTGACAAACAGGTGACGCGTCGCAGCGAAACTACGAAGGAGACACCGAAGAAGGGCGCTAAGCTGCTGAAGAAGTCCGAAGATGAGCGGCGTTTGGAGCTGGAGGCGCAGAAGCTGATCGAAAGCTATCAGAAGGTAAAGAAAGAGGCTGAAAAGTTATTCCAGCATGAATTTTGCGACGAGGAGGGTTTTGACTTTGGCGACGACAAGCAGAATAAAGACGAAGCGGGCGCTGCAGTCACGGTGGAGGAAGTAAATGAACGGAGAGTGAATGGAACAGAGAGTGAAGCAGAGAGTGAAAAGTTGCCCGGTGTGCTTGTGGAAGAAAAGTTGGTGATAGAAGGCGAGCTTGATGAGAAAATTAAGGAAGACGGTAAAGCGCATGATCAACTCGCTACGCCTGCCGAGAGTACAGATGTAGAGCTTGAGACGCATAAACAAATATACGTAAATGAGAGCAATCTGACTGCTGATCGAAGTAAGTTAGATGCGTCACAGCTAACAGCCGGATTTCTGGAAGAAGAACGTCGGTCCGTGGAAAAGGAAAATGCGCTCAAGGAACAACTAGTAACCTCTGCACAAAGCCAGCAGCAACAGGCATCCTTACACGTAAGCGCGCCTCCAGACTTGCTTGATAATGAACCGTTTTACGTGTTGCATAAAAATATTATTGAAGAACCCAAATCTGAGGCGGTGCATACGGAATTTGACGGCAAACCCATGCCGCCCGTCGTTAGTAAAGTTATAGAAATTGAAGAGGCCATAAAACCGATAGTCGTGGAAGTCAAGTCACCGCAACAAATACGACAATTCGAAACCGTGGAAATAAAAATTCAGAAAAAATTGCCTGCATCCATCAACGAAGTGACGGCCAACGAAAAAGTCACAATCCAGGCTACAAAGCCAACATCACCACCCATCCCACAAAAACGTGAGCACAAATCTCCAGAGGGCACGATTGCCACCACTGTCTCAACCGCACCCACTTCAACATTAGCACCAACACCGAAGAAACGCGGCTCCATAGACCTGCACACAGCTAACTTTGGTGGCGACCACACACCGTGTGCGAACTCCCAACTGCAAACGTCTAAATTAGAAATCCCAATTAACACACCGAATTTACAACAAAACTGCGAGCGAATGCAACAGCCAACTAAATCAGCACAATCAGCATCCGTCCCCGCAGCCCGCAGCGAGTCGCAACAACATAAGCTAGAGCGTATTATTGTTGGCGTAGAACAACAGCAATACGACGACACAAACAACGTCAAGCAGCCGGCAATTATTACCTTTGCCAGCCAAGATCTGCCAACGGAAATGGCGGTCAGCTCACCAACCAAACAAGTTGTCTCGAATGTGGTAAGCGGTAGTGGTAGCAGTGGTACAATTGCAGCCGAGTTGCATTTGGAGACCATTAATTTGCCAAATGAGCCACAAAATACATCCACATCCACAACAACGGAGAAATTGAGGAAATCAGAGCGCGTTGGCGATGGCATGCAAATGCCAAAGACAACAGCATTAGCAGCAGGAACAGCAACAACAACTGCGTCTATGACATTTATGTCAACATCATCTTCTGCGGATTCGGTGCAAAGTGTCATTGAAGTAGGTGGCATTGTGGAATCACCATCGGAGGATGAAGTGAGCCGCGGCGTGTCGAGGAATGCGAGTGAAGAAGGTGAGTGAGTTTGCGTAATTGTTTTATTTAAATTTTTTTATTTTTAGAGATTTTCAGTACATGTTTTCGGTAATGATAACATTACCCAGCATGATGTTGTTGGTAGAACCGATTCGTTGCGCGGTAGAAGCAATAATGAATTCAGGAATGTGGTCTGTAAGTGGGCGATAGCTTACTCTTTTGAACTGAATTGCTATCGAATATACATGATATATATATCAGCATATGAAAATTCAAAATATCGGCCAAAGAAATTACGAATCCTCTTTTCAATCGCGAAGTTTTCTTCAAAAAGCACCATCTTATATTTTTGTTGTTTCATCGAATGGAATGGTATTCTGAGGGGAAAGTTTTAAAGCGGTTTCTCAGCTACTTAAGTTCACGAACTTTCTACGGAGTTCGGGGCACTTGTCGTTACAGAAATTTTTATACGAGGTCCCGTGTTATCTAAGAGTTCCAGTAAGAGCTTCAGTAAACTTCACCTCCGTTAGTAGCTGAGAACAATAATATCAAGGTGGAAAGTGTGTCCTCACCCGCTTCATCTCACCAATCACATATACTTCTCGATAACTTTCCTGCTTTTTCTGCTCACGGAATACCACTACATACCGGCGCCCATTTAAAATTGCTATAAATATGTTGCCACAGAGATCGTAGGGATCTTCGGCTTTCTCGAACACATGTATGTACTTCTCGTTAGAAGTTGACGCCTCAAGGGCCCCTTTCGCAGCTTGAGCGAAGATAAGTTTTGTTGGAGCGAGGTTCACCATGCTTATCAGGCTCGCTACCGCGTTGATTGTATAGATCTCAGTCTGAAAGTTACAGCAGTAAGCCTCGCTCAGGGAAAGAGGGTGAGAGTAGGCTGCAGACTTTGGTTCAATGTCCATTTTGGCGGCATCAGTCCAACAGAAGACATATATCTGAGCCATTAGGATATCGGGGATCGGACAATCAGCAATGTGTGCACCAGGCAAAATTCCATAAAAAACTGTGACCCGTTATTTCCCTTTCCCGCAGTAGTAAAAAGTGTTGAGCTAGGAGGAGCTGTTCATGTTGTTTGCCATTCCATAGACCTTGTGCAAGCAGATACGTATCTAAACTTTTTGAGATTGACTTTAACATGATTTTAGCCCTACTTCTCCCTACTTCTCGATGCCTTATAGTCATTGCTGAGCGCTGGTGGAGTTTCTTTAACTAGCTGCAAGCTGAACAATATCCAGCCCGAGTTCTTACTAGCCAAATAATCAGCCGTCTCATTACCAAGTAACCAGAAGAAAAGTGAAGATAATTCCTAGGACCTTCGATAAAGACACCTGATGTCGATTCTAACTACCTAACTGAGGTAGCAAATAAAAAGAGGTATCCGGTGCAACTGTATGGATCTACTGTGCATTCTTCTCTGCGCAGCATTCGTTTAATCCGAAATTTCCTAGAAAGTTTACAAGGGCTTCTGATGGTGGGGAGTACATCGTCAATGCCTTTGAAAAACCACCTAAATCGCTATAGTAGCAAAATGAGATTTGGTGACCCTGAGTTTTATGCATAAAAATAGTAAAACCGCTATGCGAACCATGCATTTTTAAAATGACATATAGATTAAATATAGCCTACCAAGTCAACAGTCTTAAAGAAAATAAGCTATTTCGCTCTCCTGGATGTATACGCTTATGACGTCGTACCCCGAGCAGTTCGATTAGTTGGATTACATTGTGTTCTGCAAGTGCTACACCCCTGGCAAAGACCTCATTGACACAGAGGGCTCCACAGGCAAGATGGCGGTACAGCGCCTGTGGCCATCCTTTACTTTGTTTGTAACTGTACCGCGCTGTTTAAAATTTCAATTTCAGCAATTCCGGCTTGAAGAAGCTTTGCCATCCATCTGCTAATAGCTGGCTGAACTTAGCGTTCCTCTAATACTACTACTACTTTTACTGTTTTCCATTTCCAATACAATCATTTACAAGATACTTTTCGGATAATTTAATGTAAAAGAAACTTCTTCAAAAGGGTTTCACTAAAGATTTAGCAATTCAAAATACACTCCGCTTCATTTGAATAGGAGCATTTAAAAACCATTTGGACTTTTTTCCGTTTCGGGAACTCTACAACTAATGAAAAGCTACTCAGGGTAGTTTTAATTTAACTCTCTTTCCAAACATTAAAATCTTTCGACTTTTTTGAAACAAACATTTTTCGCTGTAATTTTGCAGAACTTTTTTCCTTTTCAAGAACTGTAAAACTATTCAAAAGCTATTCAGAACAGTTTTATGTTTTCGACTTTAAAAAAATTTTAGTTTGCTTTTTGCTTTGCTTTTCCTTTACTGCAACTCCATTGCAAAAGCCATTCAGAGCAGCTTTTGTTGTCTTTTAGCGTTATTCCGTATGCCAACTTCACAGAAATTAAATTTAGGGAGAAAAATAACAAAAAAAGGATCTTAAATTAAAAAAAAAAACCTTAACATCAAGAATTGCGATAAATGCTAGAAAATACCTAATAACTTTCAATTTTTTTGGACCTAAGGCCTACGAATGCAACTTCTAGATAAATAGAAAACGCCTAGAAAGCTTCAGAAAAAAGATGACATTGCATCAAAATCGGAGCGCTGCTGGTGAGGTCTCAAACACAAAGCATTCCTCTGGATGATAGGATTGATGCTTTACCAAAGACCTGTTAATGTTTTGGAGATCTTTTTATTTAATTTGAACTGCCATAGAAATTTACTCATGCCATAAGTAAACCTAAATATTCTACCATTAGTTACGAACAAATTTTACAGATTGACAGAAACCATATTTTAAGAGCTTTAATGCAATGCTTCTTTACTCGTTTGCCAAATTTAATTTTTGGCAAATCGAGTCGGCCACATTTAATTAAAACTGTAACTAAAAGCAAAACCATACACACTAAGACGCTAAGACGGCTTAATGCTCCACACTGCGGGCAGATAGCTTAAAAAGATAAATGCGCTTACAATGTATTCTTCTATATATGTATGCATACATGTCCGCATATACATAGCGACAGGCTATTCATTGATGCAAAATGCAAAAATGCATCATTGCATGCCAATGCAAAAGCTGTTTACTGGCTAAACGAATACATATCTACTACTAGTACGAGTATTTAACCACTTTTGAGTGCTGAGTATATCTCCTTATTTGCATTTGTGGCCAACCAGCAGAGCTCGTTTGCAAATTTTAATTTGTGTACTGTTAGTGTTTTAATTAAAAAAGAACAGTAGGCAACAGCAGCCAGCAGCGAGCAACCAATGCATTTGCAATGTTGTAAAGCGGAGCAGAATCCATTTGCCATTCTGACTGCCAACTGCTGATGGCTGGCCGCGCGCTGGTAGTAGCCAATAAATACATTTCAGCCAATTGATGTACGCCAGTATTTAGCTACGTATTGTTGCAGAGAACATGCAACTGCACTTTACCACATGGAAATGAATTTCGAAAAAAAAACAGGAGCAAAATCAAATAAAAAAGTAGCATTTAAATTAAAAACCAGAAAAATTGTAAAGTAATATATGTATGCGCCAGCAAAAATCAATCGGCATAAAAGTAGTTGAAACAATGCGAAAATTGCACGCAATGACTGTGACTGAGACTGTGTCGGCCGCAGCTTCTTTCTATTCTCTACTCGTACCTCAGAGCCACTTACCACATGCAAATAATCGTGTGGCACATGCCAACTGTGGCAATGCTGATGCCACATGCCGATGCTCTTGTGTGTGTATGTCTGATCTTAGCGTATCATCGCAGCGTCTGACTGACCTGAAAATTTATGGCTTTTAGGGCATTTACTATATAACTCTCGGCAATGATGCGAGGTTATTGATTTTTTCCTTCTTGGCTGTGAGCGTGCGCGTGCATTCTGTTTTGGCCACTACTATGACAACAATGTTGCATGTCATGCGGAGATCTCAATTTTATTATAGAATGGAGTGATTACTAAGTTTTTCAGGTTTTTATTTTATGCTATTATTTGCTACACGTTTATGCTCTTATGCGGTGAGCGTTTAGCCATGGCATTGGTAAAGGATTTTTTTTTTCGTTTGGGTTTTCGATATGGAAAATTTTCTTTGTAGATTTTTTTGATTTATTTTTAAAACGAATGTATTGCATGTGGGCATGCAAATTCTTTTACCAGCAAATGATAAAGCTAGAATTTTAAGACTGATTTCTCTTGACTGACCCTTCTAAAAAAATTTTAGGCGATTAGAAAGTAAATGCTCCACGTGCTTCGCGAAGTCTCAAAAGCTATTTTGCGAAGATCAATGCAAAAATAGTGTTGACAAGTAAAAAGGGTTTGTAAAGTAAAAAAGTCTTAGTTTAGGTTGAAATGAGTGCAGAGCAGAACCCGCAATATTCTTCCATGTATGATGTTACTTCTTTGACAATAGTCTGGTGTATGGACCCCTAATTTTACGTCATGTAAGCCAATTAGGCAGTGGTCCAGATAAGTCCTTGTAATGGGACGTAAGGTGTGTTTTCTGTTTCTTGTATGCTTGCTTTGCCCCCGACCCAAGTGCTGTGGCCTAGCGATTTGAGAACTTTGTTGCGGGTCTGTACTTTATTTGAAGTTATGTGCGCGGAGAAGGAGATCAAGTGGTGATCGCCTAGCCCTAAACTGCGCTGGTTATTAACCCTCAGTATTAGTCGACGTGGATTCTTGAATTCAATTTGTTCTTCTTCTGGCTGCAGAAAAGGCTCGCGACGGCTGACGACTGTCAAACATTAAGGTGATTCGTAGTCCACTGCTTTAGTCCCAATGAGATGTTCTGGTGAAATGAGCACTGAGCTTTGGAAGGTTTTACAGCCTCCTGGTCAGTCGACGTTTAGTCTTATCCTATGAAGAATTCAGTGTAAATGTTGGCTAAAATAGCTCGCGTATTTCTGCGACTCCGACAAGGCGCCATCACAGAACCCTGTAATCACGGTCTGGATAGAAAGCTCACGGTTGGTCAAAACTCATTCACACCAGAGGAAACTGAGCT